CCCTCCCACCCTCCCTATCCCACCCCTCTAGGTGGTCACAAAGCACCGAGCTGATCTCCCTATGCTACGCGGCTGCTTCCCACGAGCTAACTATTTTACATTTGGTAGTGTATATATGTCCATGCCACTCTCTCACTTCGTCCCAGCTTACCCTTCCCCCTCCCCGTGTCCTCAAGTCCATTCTCTACGCCTGCATCTTTATTCCTGTCCTGCCCCTAGGCTCTTCAGAACCATTTTTTTTTAAACATCTTTATTGGTGTATAATTGCTTTACAATGGTGTGTTAGTTTCTGCTTTATAACAAAGTGAATCAGTTATACATATACATATGTTCCCATATCTCTTCCCTCATGCGTCTCCCTCCCTCCCCCCCTCCCTATCCCACCCCTCTAGGTGGTCACAAAGCACCTAGCTGATTTTGAATTGCTATTGTGCCAATGGCCACCCAAGGGGCTGGAGTTTTGGTTTTGCCTTGAACATTCCAGCTGCTCCCCAATCAATAACACAGAGGCCCAAGTGTCAGCCAGTTCAACAGTCAGTCACCGGGGGATGGGCTTTTAATTTGCTGAGTGAACAAGTTAGGAAGGCCAGCACTTTGATGGAGACCTGTGGGCTTCCCAGCATGTGCCAGGTACCAGGTTAGGCCCTTTGGCTAGTGCTGTGGTTAGCAGGACCCTCTCCCTAGGGTCCAGGCTGAGGGCAGAGACCAAGTCACCGAGCAGTTGGTGACAGAGCCGGGGATCCGGGCTGCGTGGGGCACAGTGGTTGCCAGTTTGGACTTGCAGTCCAAGCCCCCTGCCTGAGTTTGAGTCCCACCTCATCATTTACTGGCTGTTTGATGGGGGGCATGTCACTTCACCTCTCTAAGCCTCAGTGTTCTCGTCTGTAAAATGGGGATTTTAATGAGCTCCACCTCATGGGATTGCCATGGGACTGCAGCTCAGCGAGGTGATATGCAGACAGCTTGATCAACACCGGGGACAAGTTAAATGCTCCACGAAGGCTGTGCTGGTGATGCTGGTGGTGGAAGCATGGCGACCGTGCGAACCTGGTGGCGGGGGATGGACGGGGGAGCACCGTAACCAGACTGATAAGTCCTGGGGGCAGTGAAGATGGAGAGAAGTTTGGCCAGGGGTAGGGTGGTGCCCACACAGGACACAGGAGGGTGACCCCTTCATCTCAGTTTGCCTGGCTTTGGCACCCGCCGTCCTTCATCCTGCGATGTCTTGGGCAAACCCGGATAGTAGGTCACCCTCGTGCCCAGCACAGACGTTTGGACCCACTTCCGAGAGCGGTAGGGAGCTGAGGTGGGTTCGAGCAGGGGGCGATGCGCTGTGAGTTACCAGCTGGGACCAGGTTCTGAGCATTTTCCCTGATAGAAACCTCTGGCTTGTCCTTGCAGGATCAGCTGAAGCAGTGTTTCTCCAGGCGGACCCCCGAGGCCAAGGACACTGACACCCTCGTGCAGGAAGCCGACAGCCAGTATGGGACGTGGCTGCACCAGCACCAGAGCGGGGAGAGGTAGGGTGTGCGGGGCGGGGCCTCTGGGCGGGAGCCAGGGTGGCCCATCTGCCTCCTGATTTCTCTGTTACTAAGTAGAACTGTTTTGTCTGTAACTATAAGAGCAAACCATTTCTTTTTATAAAACAGAAATTTAGAATGTACAGAAAACTTATTTTAAAATGATATATGAAACGTCCAGAATAGGCAAATCCATAGAGACAGAAAGTAGATTTGTGGTTGCCAGGGGCTGGGGGGAGGGGGAGAGGAGTGACTGTTCAACAGGGACCAGGTTTCCTTCTGGGGAGATGAAGATGTTCTGGAGCCAGGGAGCGGTGATAGTTGTGCAACATTGTGAATGCTCTACTGGTAAATTTCATGTTACGTGTGTTTCACTACCATAAAAAAAGTTACAAAATGAAAATGAAAATCGCCTCTGATCCCAGCACACAGATATAACCTTCATTAATGTTTTTTGTTGTCTTTCTAGACTTTTTTCTGTATGTATATTGTGTGTTTACAAATATAGGAGCATATTACAGATACGGCTCTATAAGCTATGTCAGCATTTAGTATCACCGCTGTTAGAGGCTTGTAGGGCCCCTCAGGTGTCAGCCTGGCTGGGAAGAAATATTATTATGACTGTGGCAGAAGCCTGGAGGTCACTGAGCATCGCCTGGATTCAGGAGGCAGGCAGGTCTGAACTCCAGCTTCACTCCAGCTGGCTGTGAGGTCTTGGGTAAATTAGTCATATTTGCCAGATTTCACGCTCCTTCTCCATAGAAGGGGGATGACGCGCATAAAAAGAGCCAAGATCTGTTGAGCGGACAGGCCGAGCACTGTTGTAAGCACTGAAACATAACATTTAATCCTGTCGCCCCATCTTGCAGAGGCAAAGACTGAGGCACGTGGGGTTGTCAGCAGGGTAACCTGTGCAGCAGTTGGCGTATTTCCCGGCACTTAGTAGGAGCTTGATACATTGCACCCGTTGTTTTAAAAATGCAGTTTTTCTTCTCTCCCTTGGGGGGGATCGAACACAGCAGCAGCTTCGTGGACAACCGGGAGGTGGGCTTGCCGTGTTCTCAGCTCACACTTCCCACCGGCGGGCCACAGGATTGCACGGTGTTTTGAAGTCAGGGAGACCTGGGTCGACCCCGGCATGGCCACTTACCAGCTGTGTCACTGTGTGACTCAGTTTCCTCATCTGTGGGTCTCATGCCCAGGGATATGGTGTGTCCATGGCTGAGCTGGACTCAAACCCAGGTCTCCCATCTCCTTCCCCTGCCCCCACCCGTCAGGAGCGGCCACACCCCTCTGCTGGTTTATGTCCCATAGCTGTCATTGGTACTAAAGCTGGGTGGAGGTTGATGGAATTGGAAGTGGGTAAGAAAAAGGGAAGCACAGGTTCCTTCCAGTACCCACGAAGACTTTTTGTTTTCTTTCCTACTCTGTGATGTGTGTTAATCAGTGAGCGAGTCTGGAAGCCTGGGTGTCCTGGCTTTGCGGTCGCTGTGTGACCCTGGGAGGCCCCTTCTCCCTCTGGGACCTGGCATCTCCCCTGTGTCCTGCGGTCGCCCCCTGCTGTCTCCAGGAGGCACTGCAGCTCCTCCTCCGGGAAAGGGCCCCGGAGCTGCTGTGCTCCCAGCCCTGAGCAGCGGCGCCACCTGCAGCCTCCTCAGTGGTATTTCCCTCATTTTTTGTGGATTTGCCTCAGTCGCACCCCACACCCAAACATCCTGCCTATTCCAAGGAATAAATTCTTCCCCGAGCTGACGAAAGCATAGCTGTGCTCCTACAGTGAAACACCAGTACACCTGGGTTGCAGGTTCTGCCCAAGGGTGCAGCTCAGGGGTATTTCAGGGCAGACCCTCCTATCAGTGAGGTGGTGTCTGGTGTGCCCGTCCCCCCTTCCTTAGGGTTAGGCTTTCCTGTGCTCTTGGCTTTGGGGTCTTTTTAAGGGGGGAGCGGAGAGCCTATTTAATTTAATGGTTTGATTTATTGACATATTTTCTATCTTGTGTGGTTCCAATTATCCAAGTGGTACTTGGAATACATTATGGGCAGAAATTCCAGGAGGAGAGGGTCAAGGACCTGGATTCTGGGGTCAGGTCTGTCCCTTTGGGCAGGCTACTTCACGTCTCTGTGCCTCGGTTTCCTCATCTCGAGCGAGGTTAGTATTTAATTTCCTGAGGTTAATCCTGTCTCCTAGGGCTGTGGACGTTGCAGGATTATAGGGTAATCACCGTAGGACTGTGAAGAGGATGGAACGATACAATTTTTAGCACAGGGCCTGGTGCATAGTAAGCGCTCCGTAAATCTCGAGTGAGTGAGTGAATGAATGAGTGGATGAGTGAATGAATGGATGGATGAAACAATGCAGGAGATTCCCCCACTCCTGCTCTCCCGCTGGTGACGGCCAGTGATTATTTGGTCTACATCAGCGCTGTGCCACAGAAATACAGTGCAAGCTGCAAACTCGAGGCAGTTTTAGTGTTCCAGTAGCCACGTCAGTAGAAAAGAAACAGGCAAAATTAATTTTAACAGTATGTTCTGTTGAGCCCAGTAGATCCGAAATACTACCATTTTAACATGTAGTCACTATAAAGTTATTAACGCGGTATTTTACGTTCTTTTTTTTTCACTCAAAGTGCTGGGAATCAGTGTGTACTGACTGTACTCAGGGCCCAGCTCAGCCCTCACTCGCCGCATTGCAAGGGCCCAACGGCCCACATGTGACCAGTGGCTCCCGTATTGGACGGCGCAGGGTTAGAGGGTCTTGAACGGGACATTCTGCACCCATTCTGCACCTGTTCAGGTGTTCTAGAGGCACCATGGACAGCACCTGGCTGGGCCCAGAGTGGTTCTCCTAGCTGGACGTTCTGTCTCTTGTTTCCTGGCATATAAAGCACAGCCCACACCCTACCTTCTGCCACTTCCCTTCCTTGAAATTCAGGTCTCTGAAACAACCTGCCCAACCAGGCCTCCCTCCCTTCCTTCCATTCTCATAGCTTGGCCCCCGAGTCCCCATCCCCGGACAGCAGTGCCACATCGGCTCAGAAGCAGCCCCCCAGCAGCCGCCTGTCTTCCCTGTCCTCCCAAACGGAGACCACCTCTGCTGGGGACCAGCACGATTGCTCCAAGGACCAGCAGAGCACCAGCGTGGACCGATCCAGCACGGACCTGGAATCCACTGACGGGATGGAGGGGCCGCCCCCAGCGGATGCCTGCCCCGCAAAGAGGGTGGACGACTTCTCCTTTATCCATGTAAGTCAGTCGTTGGGAGCACGTGCTGGAAACAGTCATTTCTTCTTAAAGGGACGTTCTAGCATCTCCCGATGAATTACCCCTTTCCCTGGTAGAATCTGTGTGCCAGGGCCCCCTGTGGTGGGTGCAGAGGGCACAGTCTGAGATGGGACTGAAGTCTACATGAGGCTTGTACCTGCCACACACCAGCTGTGTGTCTTGGGGCAACTGTCTTCACCTCTCTGAACCTCGGCTTCCTTGTCCACCTGTAACCAGTACAGTGGGTTTCACAGCTGTGAATGCAATCATATGTGTACAAATTAAAACTGAGCTGAGCCCTCACCTGTTAGGCGAACAGGCCATCTGGCCTCTCACCCCTGGCGGGTGGGAGGTGTCTGCCTGAGGCCTGCAAATCTAGGTGTGCAGCCTGGACTTCGCTCAGACCAATTCTGCTGGGGGTTCTTACCAAGGTCTTGACAAGTGGGACCATGTCCCTGGAGCCAGGGAATCCAAGCCTGTCTGTAAAGGGGATCCTCCTCAGGCGTGGGCAGCCCTCAGAACTCAGCTCTTCTGGGGCCCACGGAGAGCCACCCTACAGGATGCTAGCCACACAAGTCCAACTGCCTCCTACCCAACCCCTTCTAGACCTGCAGGGGTCAGGCAGGTTGTCCTTTTCAATCCTTGAGACACACGGGTTTTATTATTCTCCTTCCCTGACAATAGGGCTACCTGCCCACCCTCCTGAGGATGCAACATCTAAATGATGCAAAATCCAAAACAGACCCTGTCTCCTCAGTGAAGCCTCACGTCCACACCCTTAGAGATGACTACACAGATGCCCCCAGAGAAGGACCATCACTGCTTTGGGTGTGGGGCTTCCTTTAGGGCCTCAAATGGGATTCTCCTTCCTAAATATGGTCAAGGTCTCTCTCTGGCATCTCTAAATAAGGGCAGAAATGAGGAAAGGCACACACTCAGTCTCCATTGGGGCACCTCACTGTATAAACATGGACAGGGTGCAGGTTGTCAGGGTTTAGTTAGGGGATTTATTCAGTTATTCATCCAACAAATATTTATTGAGCTCCAGCCATGTCCCAAGCATTGCTCCAGCTTACACGCCCATACGATGTCACTGTGCCATAGCATAAGTCTCCTGATTTACCTTCTGGAACACTAAGCCCAAGAGGCAAAACCCCTGCCCCATTTTTATTTTATTTTTTTTTAACTTATCCTTTCATATAACCAGAGACAACTTTTTTTTTTTAAAACATTAAAAAAAAAAAATTTTTGGCCACACTGAGGAGCTTGCAGGATCTCAGTTCCCCAACAGGGATTGAACCTGGGCCATGGCAGTGAGAGCGCCAAACCCTAACCACCAGACCACCAGGAACTCCCTCATTTTTGCTGATTCGGGAACAGAAGTGGCCACTGAGTGATTGAAATGCCAGTGTCCCTAAGCACAGGTCCAGCCAATTATTTAACACTGAGGTCTCCCACAGGCAGTGTTTGGAGGCTGAAAGGGGAGGCGAGGCACTAGGGAAGGAATCAGCTTCTGCACCAGCCTGAGGCTGCACGGGTGGCCCTGGGGAACGGGACCACGCCCCCTTCAGCAGCCCCTGCGTTGCTGTGGCTCCCTCCCACTTTCCCTGAGTCTGAGAAACCCGCTCTATTTAGTAGTGACCAGAGATATATGCTCTCCTCTTGAGGACGGCGGACCCTTTATGATTTCCATCTCTCCCCAACTTCCACCAGCCCCACACAAATCCCCCCACTGGACAGCATCACAGCCAGTTTGGGAAACAGCTGTGCAGGTATCAGCCCCCTCCTCCCGCCCCCAATGGGGTGTCTGTCACTTACTGACTTTGGGAAATGAGTCACTGAAATTAGCTCATCATCGCTAACTTAAAAGACCCTGGGTGACAGAATTTCTCCAAAGTGGACCTGAGAGGAAGAATCCAACATTTCAGGCCAGGACCTGAGCTGGCCAGGAAGGGAGAAGCCCATTGTAGGAATAGCTCACGGCTGCGAGCCTGAGTCAGGTGCTGCTGGAACCAGGACTTTCCATGCCTGGGCTCCCTGAATTCTCTCAACCACCCTGGCAAGGGGATACTATTACCATTCCGTTTTTACAAATAGGGACACCCAAGCTCAGAGAGGGTAAGTCCCCTGCTCTGAGGTCACACAGCTGGCATTCAAACTGAGCGGGATTTGAAGCCCAAGCTCCGGGCTCTTCACCACTATCTCCTTGGAGATCACTGAGCCAGAGGCTGCCCACCTTCTTGCTGGGCCTACCCAGGTGGTCTGCCCCCAGCCCTCTCAGCACAAAAGGTGGTGATGTTGGAAACCATCACTGACCCTCCACCTGCCTCAGCTCACAGTGTGATGCTTGCAAACTAATGCCTGGTACTTAGTAGGTGCTCCACCGGCTCCCACCTGCACCCTGAATTATTGTGGGTAGAGGAAGGACCACACTGAGAACCTCTCAGCTCGTGGACCCTGTGTGGAATAAGGTTGTTGTAAGGATTTAGTTAGATGATGTGTTCAGTTATTCATTCAACAAATAAACAAACATGTACTGAGCTCCTGTTAGGTACTGCTCTAGCTTACCTGCTCAGATGATGTCACCAGGAGCGGAAAGCCATTTCCATTATGTGCCCACTGTGTTCCAGGCACTGTGTGGGGCACTCAAGGTTTATTTGATTCTTGGAATCAGCCTACATGCTATATCTCACAGAGCAAGTAGGCTTAGAGTGTTAGGTTCCTACTGAAATGCGGAAATGCTGGCCCATGTACCACCTAAATAGCATTGTGTATCGACACAGCTATGCACACCTTCCTTGGGTGATGCCCCCATTTAATGTTTCCCATGCTTTGTTTCCCCTCTTCTTCCCTGCCACTCCCACAGCAAACTTCAGTCCTCGACTCAAGTGCCCTAAAGACCCGGGTGCAGCTCAGCAAGAGAAGCCGCCGCCGGGCTCCCATCTCCCACTCCCTCCGGCGCAGCCGAGTCAGCGAGTCGGAGAGTAGGTCTCCTTTGGAGGAGGAGGCCAACAGCACGTGGATGTTCAAGGACTCCACAGGTATGCCCCCTCTCCTCCACAGGTAGCACATTGGATAGCAGGAAGGATTTTAAACCCTGGAAGAGCTTTCTGACTTTGAAGGCTGTGGGGTATTAGAACACAATAACATAGGAAACTGTGGTTTCTTATTCCACCAAGCTTTTTAGAAACTAGGTAAAACATTTTTTTGAGGATGATATATTAGTTGGGGCTCCACAGGTTGCAAGGAACTGAGACAACTTAATAGGATTTCACTATTTATGCTGTTATCCTTATTAAATTCACCCTTATCCTCTCTTCAGGTTTGTTTGCTGGTATTTTTCTAGATTCTCAAGTTGAAAGATCAGTTCATTTATTGTCAGTCTTTTGGGGTTTCTAATAAATTATTTAAGGCTATGCATTTTCCTCTAAGGTCTTCTTTGGCTGCATTCCACGTCAAACCTTGAGCTGAATCCTAAAGAACAGATAGGAATTAGCCAGGGAAGGGTATTCCAGATGGAAATATCAACAGGATCAAAGGGGCAGAGGTGTGGAAAGAACATTCCGTGGGTGTGGCGGGGGCAGGGGCGGGTCGTTTCTCTAAGCAGTTCAGTGTTTCCCAAGCCAGAAATAGCAGGAATCAGGCTAGAAAGGAAGAGCCAGTTCGTGGAGAGTTGTGATTCCTTGCTAAGGAGTTAGACTTGATCTGTAGATGGAGAGCCACGGAAGAGTTTTAAGGAGAAGCAAAATCTCAGAATGGAGGCTGCCAGTGACTTCAGTATGCTTTTCTTTGCAACAGAGGAGAAATCCCCCAGGAAGGAAGAGTCAGATGAGGAGGAGAAGACGCCCAGAGCTGAGAGGACGCCCATCAGCCGACCCCAGAGGATGCCTGTGTTTCCAGGCATGGACCCGGCAGCGCTGAAGGTACCAGACTTCATGCCCAGAGCTATGCTTACCTGTGGCAGCAAAACAGACGGGCCCATGTTTCTCACCCTCCTCCCTCCTTCCTTCCCTCTCTCCTTCCTTGCATCCCTCCCTTCCTCCCTTCCTGTCTTCCTCCCTCTCTGTCTAATTTTTGAAATAGTTGAAGATTCATGAGAAGTTGCAAAACTAGTATGAGAGACTTCCTGGGGACCCCTCCTCACCCAGCTTCCCCCAGTGCTAAAGCATCCCATGGCCATGGTACATTATCAAGACCAGGACATCGGCCTTGGCCCGGTGCTATGAACAATACTACTGATATATTTGGATTTCTCCAGTAATCCTGTGTTTCTGAATCTCCACTTCTTTCTCTAGCCCCCACACCTGCTGCTCAGTTTAGTCTTCCAGCTAAGCCTCCATGTGCTCATCTGTAAAGGGGGTTAAAAGTCCACCTTAGGCATCAGGCCCAGTGCTGGATGTCTGGGAAACAGGAGTAAACTAGCCCAGGCTTCTGTTCTTGAGGAATCTGGTGTGCTAGGGGTGGGAGGCACATAAAATGATTATTTTGATTCCAAACAATGTGAGAAGTCAGCATTGGAGCCATATTAATCTGTCTTAAATAGCACCGCAATCCCAGTTGGACTGTGGAATCCTGAGGGCAGGGCTAGGCTGTCTCCCCACCCTCAGCTCCACCGAGCATCTCACAGGTCCTGGGAGGCAGCGGTACTTAATGCAAGTGAGAGAGGGGCCTCTTTTATCCCCAGGCACCATGTGCTTGCAAACTCGCTTTATGTCCCCAGCAACCCTAAAAAAGGTAGCTCTTTACTCCCATTTTACTGAAGAAGAAATCAAGACAAAGAAGCCTAGGTTGTTTGTGGAATTTCTCAACCCCACACTCCATGTGGCCAGGGAGCCTCCTGTTAGGGGCTGTGAACTTGCCACTCCTTCAGTAGATGGCAGCTTTGCTTTTCATGTCATTCCTGGCAAGAATAAAAAGTTGATAAACAGCAGATGCATACTTGCCCCTGTAATTCATTTTACAGGCCTTCAAAACATAAATGTCTTGCAGCAGCTGTCCTGGGCCAGAGGTTTTCTGACTTCTTTTTTGAAGCATTGGAACAAAGCTGCCTTACAGGGCAGCCTAACACAGGGGGCAGAGAAAGGCCCTGCTTACAGGAGGGAGCAGAGGCCCTAGGGAGGCTGCCGGGCTTTTTCTCGAAAGAGCCCTGGAGTTGGAATTGGGCAGACCTAGGACGAATCCTAGTTGTGGAAAACCATGTGACTTTGGGCCAACTGCTCAACCTTTGACCTTTAGGCTACTCCTCTATAAAACAGAGAAAGCCAGTCTCCATCCTGGAAACATGTGTCATATAACTTACACCTGGTGGAGTCCGGTCGCTGGATGCCCAGTGCACAGAAGCTGCCAGGCCGACGATGGTGATGACCGCTATTGCTGGGGGCTCTGCCAGCATTGACTTGGAGACAGATGCCACCTGCCACCATCATACCCCCCCTAGGAATTCTGGGCACACCATTCCAAATCATCCCATTCCCTGTGTACCCTCCAAAAATGGTGGGAATCCACCCTGCGTTTTCCCTGTGCAAACCTGATAGTCAGAAACCTCACTTATTCATATTCACAGGAGCAAAGAGCTTAAAAGAGCTGGGCCTCAGCTGTAAGATGCATCTCTTGTCTGCATCTCGGGCTCTCAGGAGACTGAAGGAGGTGGAGCGTCCTGTGATGAGGACACCACACATGGTGGCTTTTCAGCCAAAGATAATGTGATTGGGTGGATTTTTCACAGTTGTTCGATCCCAGTGGTCAAGGGTGGCCTCTTGGATTACAAGCCTGACCTCTGATTTTTCTTGGCCTCCACGGTCAGGCAGCATCTCCCCCACCCCTGAGTCTGCTGCCTGGGTCTGTTCAGATGCTGGGAGCCCTGCTGTCGCCATGCAGTGACAAGTGCCGTAGGATGGGACCCTTCCCCAGACCAAGGGCGGGTTACAGACTCCACCCCTGTCTTCTCTTCCCAGGCTCAGCTGCACAAGAGGCCAGAGATGGACAGTCCCAGCGATACCCCCAGCTGGGCCCCACAGCCCAAGACCCCCAAGTCCCCCTTCCAGCCTGGGGTGCTGGGCAGCCGCGTGCTGCCCTCCAGCGTGGAGAAGGACGAGAGGTGAGAGTGTTGCTAACACATAAAAGTTAGGGATCATGCATGATACTGTTATTGTAATATAAGAGCTATGATAGAGCAGGGGTTGGCCAACTATAGCCCACAGGCCAAATTCAGCCCACTGTCTGTGTTTGTAAATAAAGTTTTATTGGCACACAGCCATCATTTAAGGATTGTCTGTGGCTGCTTTCCTGATGCAACTGCAGACCTGACACGTTGACACAGACACCCTATAACCTGCAAAGTCAAAAATACTTACTATCGGACCCCAGTGACAGAGGAAGGCAGAAGAAGAGTTCAGAACCCAGACCTGAGGAGGACGGGTGTGGAAAAGGCTTCCAAGAGGAGGGGGTGCCCGATCTGCGTCATGACAGACAAGAGAGGTGGCCAAAGTCACAGCACATGCAAAGGTCCAGAGGCCTAGTAGAACTGGGTGCTGTAGGCTGTGCATGTTATTGGAGCACAGAGTGGGCCGTGGGAAGCAGGAAAGCAAGAGGATGAGAGAGAGAGACAGGCTGAGGCAGAGATGGTACCTGTCTTGCTCTGCGGATGCCAGAATTGCTCTGGAGTCAGCTGAGGGCACCAGTGTTTCTCCAGGGCTGGAGGGACCCCCAGACCAGGAGGCCTGGTTTTGAGCCTCCACCATCAGGCAAGCCTTGCTTGGGGTCCTCAGACCCCTGTCTGCCCAGGGGACCTCTCCTTCCTCACAGACCCCCACCCCACCCCCAGCCAGGTCAGCAATGTCCCTGAGCCCTCCGGGACTGTGGAGTCAGGAGCTTTCTCTGAGATCAATAGAAGTAAGGTCTTGTGTGTACATGTGTTTGATTATAAAAGTAGTACATGCTCACCTTAGGAATTGTAGAACATATAAAATGAATATAAAGCAGGAAAGAAAATCACCCATGATGTGATACCCCGCCCCCCCGCCCCCCACCCCCACCCCGCCAGAAGACTACCACAGTGACGTTTGGGCCTTTCTCCTTCCATTCTTTTTAAATGTAGTCGCGATTACAACATAAAATATGTATAGCTTCTTTTCCGGTTTCGTGTGACGATTCTCCCACAGCCATTAAAGTCCTCATAAGTATGATTTCTTTTTCTTTAAAAACTTTTCAGATGTTTTTGTTTGACTTCATTGTTTTTGTTAAAGTGATGTGTTCTCATTACAAGCCATTCCGAGAAACAGAGAAAAATACGTAAAGAAGAAAGTGAAAAATAAGACCCTCGAAAGCGTTATCGTTCGGTCGGTGATGACTCAGTGCGTTCACTTTGAGAGAATCCATTGAGCCGTGTGCTTACGATCTGAGTGATTTCTGGATGTGTGTCCTTCAACTTTTAAAAAAGTTAAAACAAATCGTACCTCCCCCAAACAATTATTGTTATTATTCAGTAAACATAAGATCTCCCTATCCGTGTCTTACAGGCATTGTTTTAGTCAGGGTTCTCCAAAGAAACATAACAGTAGTATGTATACACGGGGGTGAGAGAGAGAGAGAGAGAGAGAGAGAGAGAGAGAGAGAGAGAAAGAAGGATTTATTTTAAGGAATTGTTTTTCACGATCGCGGACGCTGACAAGTCCAAATTCTGCAGGGTAGACAGGCAGGTTGCAGACCTGACGAGGAGCTGGTGTTGCAGTTCAAGTCCCAAAGGCAGTATCTTGGCAGAATTCCCTCTTCTTCTAGGGAGGTTGGTCTTTTTCAATTAAGGCCTTCGACTGATTGGATGAGGCCCACCCATGTTATGGAGGGTAATCTGCTTTATTCAGAGACAACTGGTTTAAATATTAATCTCATCTAAAAAACAAAATAAAATACCTTCACAGAAATAGCTAGTATAATGTTTGACCAAACAGCTGGGCACTGTGGCCTAGCTAAGTGGACACACAGAATTAACCCTTATGGGCATGTACCTGGGTAGAGAGACCGAAGGATGGATGGATATTTGGGTGGCAAATGGATGGATGGAAATAATTTTATGTAAGCGTGACTTTCTCCTGCAGATTATTTCACAGAATGGATGTACCATGATTTATCTAACATTCTTCATTTTGGAGCACTTTGTTTAATTCCTGTTTCAGTCATGTCGACATGGGCATCTTTGCCGCCTGCGAGTGTGGCTCAGCCCCCGCCCACACGGCGGCAGGAGAATTGGGTCCCTCAGGGAGTCCTCGGTCAGGCTCACACTTGACTCCCACTGCCTTTGTGGTTTCAGATCGGAAGAGCCCTCTCCCCAGTGGCTAAAGGAGCTGAAATCCAAGAAGAGGCAAAGCTTGTATGAAAACCAAGCTTGAGCAGGTATGAGGGGCTATGGAGGGGAGACCCGGACAGAGCCTGCAACCTGAGGAGCAGGGGACTTGGGCCGGGAGGCCAAGGCTCAGAGACTTGGGATGCTGTACCCTGGAAAAGAGAAGGGAAAACGTGGTTGAGGGTGTTCGGGGTTCCCGTAAAGAGAGTGGCAATGATCTGCTTCTTCTTAGGGAAAAAAAAAAACACAGTTGGACGGCCTGGGGTGGGTGGAAAGGGCATGGACTCTGGTCTCACGCCCTTGGCCAGCCCTTCTCACTGCATCTCAGGCCCCCTTTATAAATTGAACGGGCAGGACAGCTTAATCTGAAATGTCCCCAATTTCTACATTCCTATACAACCTGTATAATTAAAAATTAATTTGAAAAAAAAAAGAAATTAAAAAATCGAACGATTAGTATGCCCTGATGTGGGCCCCAAATGATTTAACTTCTTGAACTTTAGTTTGCCCATCTGTAAAATGGGGTAGCAGCGCCCATGTTGCCGAGCAGTCCAGAGGGCTCCCTGAGAATGGACCGGAAGTCCCTGGGGGAGGAGCACATAGCTCTTGCTCCGTCAGAGTCAGCTCTGCTCTGAGAAGCACAGGAGACCCACCACCCGTTCTCCACAAACCTGAAATCCAGAAAGCTCGCAAAACGAAGCACCTCCATCCCTTATTTAGTGACAGAACCTGACCTGCATGGATAAAATACTATTTAGACTCTGTTTTCCCCATTTTATATGAATATCCATACATAATACTGCAAGCATATTATATGCTTAATTATGGGGGTGTTGCATAATGTATGTATGTATTATATGTTACATAATATTTACATATAAGCATATATATGTCTGTATATATGTATCTAACAAACTCAAAATTTCTAAATTCCCCAATAAATCTATGCTCTAGGATTTCAGATAAGGGATCAGAGCCTGTGTTTACTTGGTGCTCAGTGCTGTACCCACGATATCTCAGTTAAGCTTCCGGCCATCCATTTGAGGACACCACCGACGCTGGCACCCTGACCTGACCCTAAATTTCACGTTCATTCCATCATATCCAGCCGCCTGCCACCTTCCCCATCCCACCCCTCGAAAAAAAAGTCATCTTTCCTGGCCTGTAGCTTGTGGGGTGGCTGCCTTGGGGAGCACCAGAAAAGTGTTTAGGGCTCAATGATGGGGAGAAATGGCATCTCTTGTTCCCCCTGCTGACACCAGGACTGTCCCTTCCTCTCCAGACAGGGGCCACTGCCACGTCTAATGAACAAGCCTTAACTGTCAGTACCCGAAGACGAGGTCCCGCTGCTGCCGTTGCTTCCTGCACACACCTGGGCCCTTCCGGTCGGTCGGTCTGTCGGTCGGGTGGAGAAGGCTGCCCAATGCCCCCCCTCACCACAGGCTCTCCCGGACGGATGGGGCAGGAAGGCTCACCCTCCATGAGCACGTGCTCTGTCTCCCCGGACAGCACTTCAGGCTGGGAAAGAAGCCAGGCGGCCCAGAAATGTCCATGCTGGTGGTTTGGTTTTGTTTTGTTTAATGTAAAAATGTGCATTTCTACCCATTTTAAACCCCTGCAGCAGCTCCAGGAACATGGATGTAAGGCTGGACCGTCTCCCCTGGGTTCTGAGTCGTGAAAGCGCCTCTTCCCCCCAACCCCCACCCAGGGCTGGTCTTTTTTTGGAAGGACATTTCCAAGGAAGATGAAACCATACATTTCCTGCTGTAACTGTGGTCCCAGCAGTACCACCGGGTTGGGGGCTTTGATCGCTCCTTTGGCGAATTCCTTCTCCCTCTCGAAGAATCAGCAGTTCTGATCTTTAAACACACCTGCCCTCATTCTTTCAAGTGTATTTATCCTCCCAGTGGGGCTGTGTGCAGAGCTTGCCTGTTCCATTGTACATCATGTTTTGTTTGCTTTAGAAGGTGATAAAGCAATAATCCAGCCAACTTTCTTTGAAATTTGATATGTATATATGTTTTTATGTTAAAGAACAGGAGGAGAGGCGTGTGAATAGTTTGCTTGAAGTATCTAATCATCTCAGGTTATCTTATCCCTACCCCAAGCTTTTTAAAAATTCTGATTGTCACCCTGGTGTACACTTTCCTGGTTCCTATTCATCCGAGCTCTGATTTCTGTAGGGTGACCTTTGTCCCTTGGCCTCAAGGTTCAAAAAACTGCAGCCCAAATGGCAGTGCCTTTCCCTCCCAAACATCAGACCCACCCGAGAGGCTTTTTCTCCAAAGTCCCTTTCTGAACACAACCTGAGCTGCTGGCATAAAAGATCTATTCCCAGTTGGTCTCAGGACAAACGATGAATGAGGGGTCCTTTTTGTTTCTTCTCACCTCTTCTTTCTACCCAACCTCCCCCCAATTCTACCTGACCAGGTGCTTTTTCTAGGTCCAAATGCAGGAAGGGAGGGTCTTGCTGAAAGCCCTTCTCTGGAGGGGAGTCCCCCCGACCCCCAGCCCAGGAACTCTGGACAGACTTGCTAGACGCTAGGTAACCAAGTATAGGCTTGCCTTGCCTCTTTTTTTTCTTGGCAACTCTAAGCTCATTCCCAGGAATCTCCAAGACCTCTGGGGTCTCCAGTCATGGCTACTCTGTCCTTGTTTTTGGAAATCCTCCACACCAGCTTTCTCCACCTCTTGAGCCCAGGGCCCCAGCAGTCATCCCAGGGATAGCCGGCCCACCGCCATGTCTGGAGTTGCCATAAACTTTGTGCCAACCTTGCCCGGGAGACACCCATGTGTGAGAGAGATGCTTGGGCAGTTCACAGGGCAGCCTGTGATTGCTGAGGGGCACTGGGGCTGAGCTTCTTAATGGATCTTTGCTCAGCAATGGACTTCCCAAGAAGTGAAATTCTCTCCTAATAAATCCATTCTTTGCAAATGGTGTCAAAACCTGCTTGCCTTCTCCCTGGCCACCCCTCCTTCAGTCTCTGTTTGTCTCCTCAGCTCTTCCTCCCTTATCTCCCATTACCACCTCTTCCCTCTCTTGGGTACGGCAGGATGGAGACCAGTCCCGTCTCTGCAGGTTAAGACAAACACCCGGGCCCGAGAGGGGCTGTGGTTCAGCACCACGGACAGTGACCGAGGTGTGGGTGAGAGGCCCTCCCTCCCTGAGTCCTGTTGGCTGAGCTTTGGCTACCCGATGGGCGGTTGTTGGAGCCCGTCTCCCGGGCAACCTTGTGCATCTGGAAACCTCATGCATGTGTGTCTGGAGATCTGGTCCTGCTCGATCACACTTTGTATTCTCTTCATTCCCTGAGTTTGTGGTCAGTCCGCTCTCTCTGGCCATTTGGGGATTTAATCCTTTCAGGAACCGCTTCAGTTAATTTTCCTTTCTTACTCTTCAGAGATCCTTTTCATGTTTCATTTCAGTTTTGCTGTAGTGTCCAGGTCAGTAGGTCCTCTAGACACTCCTAGTGTGCTGTGACCCTGACGTCTTTTCTCGCCTGCTGTCTTTCTTTGCCTTTCTCAAGGTGGGAAGGCCCCTTGGTACCATCTTAGGCAGTAGGAAGCCACTTGGCTCTGTTCGGTCAGTATAGTGATACTCACCATGCAAAACTCTCAGTTTTGAATTAGTCGTGTTTCATCCCATGTATACCCAACAGGAAAGAAAAACACTTGAAAACAAGATTGACCTGGAGGCCTTCTGCCTATCCTCCCACACCTGGATTGGAAATAAAGATCCATTTAATTCCTTGGTGATGAGGACACAACTAACTTAACATGCCTTAATCATTTGTATGCAATCAGGTCACCCGCCCTCATCCAGCCCTCCTCCCCTGGGCCTCTGGCTTTCTTTAAATGAGAGTTTTATACAGAATGCATCAAAAATAAGATGGATAGATAGGTGATGTTTTAAATTGTACTCTCTCTCGCACACACGCTCTCTCTCTCTCCCTCCATCCCCCCACACCCTCTTTGCACATCAGCATTTTGAGAGCTGGTCTTTTGATAAGTCCATATCTTTTTCCCCTCCAGTAGATCCCCTTCTTCATGGTCTCTTGCCTAATGTAACAGAAGCCTTTGGCCTGTAAAATTCCACGGTGAGGCCTCAAAAATCAGTGTTGTGGAGAATCTCTCAGTACCACCAGAGAAACTCCAGTGGAAGAGAAGCCTCACTAAACCCAAACCCCAGTGGAGTTTAGAGTGTTGGGGGCTTTGAGTGACGCTGCCCTGACGGCCTCATGTTGTCTGGCGTTCGGGCAAAGGACAATCAGATGGGGAGGTTTTGCAGGGGACAAGCAAAGTCATGTGCTTTCAGACAAATGTGTTTTCCCTTGTGCTTCCCAGGAAGAAGTGAGGCCAACTCTAGGTATCGGAATAGAGGTGAGCCTGAGGTCTTCAACCTTAGAGGCTGTGCAGGGGATTTGGAAAAACCTTAGGCGTGATCTCCCTGAAGGAGACCTCAGCTGCTCCCACCTGGCGCTGACAGCTGCCTTGTCCATTTACATTTTTCATCACGGTACCCCCAGACTGCCCCAGGAGCTAGGTGTCGTTACAAAGCTAAAAACCCACAGATGTGTCATTGGATCACCTCCAAAACAAAATGCTTGCTTAAAGGTGACGTGGGCCTGCGTGGAAGACAGCGTCCCACTCAAGGAGAGGACTCTCAAGCCAGCCGCTCCCTCTCTCCTCCTCCATCCCTGTGGTCCCTCCCACACAGCCCTGTCCCTTAATACAGGAAGCTAGATGACGGTTGTCTTTGTGTAAACTAGCATTTCAGGGTGAGGTCTGCAGGGAGGTGGGAGAAAAACTCTATCCACCGGGAATTGCGCCGCCTCCAATTTATGCCGTGGCGAGTCACTACAGTAATGGAGAATCCTTCTATAGCCTCCGACTGTGCCTTTCCTCCTCCAACATGTGATAAAACAGGAAAGCAAAAAAAAAACCCTATGGCATCGTGATTCCATGGAGTAGGAGGGAGCCACTTAAGGGAGAGGGGACCTGCCCCACATCTGGAAGGGGGTCCACCTTGGGCCCCACCCCCTTAGGGAGTGATGGATCTGAGCCCTGTGCTGAGAAGCTGCCAGGAGTTACCCTGTTGGAATTCTGGGCAAGTCGAGGGTCTGGGAACATAGAACCGCATAGAAAACCGGTAGGCATGAATGTGCTGAGTCTTGGTCTGTATCTCCTTTGGCCCCCATCACCCCTCTAGAGATTTCTTTCTTTTGTCTAGGTTGGTTCCTGCAGGGAGGGGGCCAGAAAACCAGGTTCCTGGAAAGTCAGCCTGAGATTTCCAGCAAGGTAACCTCTCAGCCGCTCACTGCTCACCTCCCAGAATCTCCTTAAACGGTCACCCTCACACCTGGCACCACACCATCTCCCATGAATCAGCCTGGCACTGTTTTAGCAATCTCCGGCGGCGTCACACCTGCTAAAAAAAAAACCAACGTGATGCCGTTGTCTAAAGAATGAGCTCATCCCACATAGCCTTATAGATCCTGTAAATGCGGGGCTCACGAACGTCATCTGTTGTGTTACTGAAGATATTTTGTACCGTGTCGTTCCCTAAATCATACCAACGTCCTACAAGTCCTGCACTTCCCAGATGGTTATGAGCCTCAAAATGCTTTGCAAGATGGAGGGGGGAGTGGAAATATATATACGTACGCTATGTATTTTCCTAACCTTTCTTCTGGGTCCCTTCCTCCGATATTTGAGTCACGATCGAAAAGGAACTCGAGTCCTGTGTGCGAGAAAGTTGGAGCGTCCTGCCAGTTGGTGTCCTTGCAGTTGCCTTATGAACTCACAGGCTCCAGGAGTTCTGAACAGAAGGTGGTCGACCGGCACTTTATCCAGTCCCAGAAATGATCTCTAATCGTGTGACTGAGAATTCATCTAGAGAAACCTATATTTTTAACATCAAAACAAACGGGGCTTCCCGGACCTCACAGAGTATTGGATGTCTACCAGTACTTTTCTATTTTGTAACTGTAAAGAGGTTTCATACACACAGCAGAGCAGTTGGGAATCTGGTCGACTGCCCTAAAACAAAATGACCTTTGCATGTACAAAGACGTTGCATTCAGACTCTGAAAGCAGCAAATAAAGCTTTGACGCGAGCTGCACTGGAGACGTCAGCGTGTCGGTGTGTGAATGAATGGACTCCCCCATGCATGCATGCCTGTCCCCAGCTGAGTCAGCCTCTCTGCTGCGCCGAGCTGGGGGCCAGACGGAGGGAGGGCGCAGCAGGGGTCCTGGGAAAGGGGGCAGGATCTCCATTCGACGTGGGGTTGGGTCCTCATTCTGCCTCCTCCTGGCTGTGGGGTATCTCTGAACCCCCATGGTTCTCCAGAATGGGGGTGTGACAGCGATAATAGTGGGCAAAAGTTAAAGGCAGTGGCTCTCAGCTGGGTGGATTGTGTCCCCCGCACGACATCTGGCAATGACAGGAGATGTTGTTTTAGTTATCACACGGAGGGAAGGGAGATGCTACTGGCATCTAGTGGGTGGAGGCCAGGGATAATGCTTAGCATTGTACACCGTGCAGGACAGCCGTCACACCCCATCGCACAGAATGATCCGGCCCCAGATGGCAGTGGGGCCAGGATTGAGAACTCTAGGTTAAAGAAGTGCGGCCCAGGAAATCTGGGCATATAGTAGGTCTTCAGGGTCCTAAAGGAACTGATGGGCGTTGGGGAGTCAGGCCTGATAGGCTGTCGCACCCCTGTCTTCCCCCTTATATCCCCAGCAGGTGGCGGCTGCATCCCAGGTTAAGGGGTTGAGACCAGCTCTGCTCTCCATGGACACCAGAAGGAAGCAGCCTCTTGGTTTGAACTGTCAACAGTAGGCAGGATCCTCAGTGATTAAAAGCTAGAAGGTAGCGCTGTGCTGAGTGTTTTGCCTTCGTGATCTCTCAATGGCTCGAGGAGAGAGAAGCTTCTCCATTTACAGATGGAGAGGCTGTGATTCTGACCTTCATTCGCTCACCCAAGGTCACACAAGTCCACCTGTTTCCAGAGCCCAGCTGTCACCCACACCTCCAGGGATGCAAGGAGGTTGGGTTTTATGCCGACTTGAGAACGTTAGCCAAAAACAAACAGCAAAAGAAAACCCTCTTGGTTAACAATTTACCCCTTTGCCCTCATTATTTTATTCATTCAGCAATCATTAAATACAGGTTCCCCTCCACTATCCGAAAGCAGAGTGCTCCTCTGAAACCTTTCCTAGGCTGCAGTGGCATAAATTGAAGAAGCAATTACCTGAGGACACATCTTGTTCACAGATGCACAGAAGAAATGGAGATAAAGCACAGATGCTCTCAGACACTGTTCAAAGCTCTGGCCCGCTTGAAGCTGAGATACTGAGTGTGGTTCCCACGGAAGGCACTTGGTGGCGCCACTCGCTGCTTGGGGCTCACCTCGCCACTGTCATGGCTCGTTATAAAATGAACACAACGTGATTTTTGCTTTTCACCCTTTTTTTGTAAAAGCAGAAATTCTCTGGACTTCTTTCCGTTAAAAAAACAGGTACTAATGTAGGTCTTTCATTAAAGCAAAGTAGCTTAAGGAAAACTTTCGAAAAGCCAGGAAATTCTGGTAGCTATCGCAGGCAAAATTATACTTTGTTAAGCACACGCACAAAATGCGTGGATTTTTTTTTTTTTTTGGTCATAAATAAAGGGACTATCGTGATCATCTTTATTTCTGTTTAGGCTAAGAGGTGGGCCCTGGAGGAGGCCAACCCCTTCTCTGCTGTGTGACCCTGGGTGAGTGACTCCACATCTCTGAACTGTTTCCCCCTCTATAAAGTGGAGATCATAATTCCTCCCCTAAAGAGGGCTGCATGAGGATTGAACACACTGCTCATGAAGCTGGCCCAGTGCCGTGCACATAGTAGGTCTTCAATAAATGGTCACTGTTATTTGTCAATGTATAATGAAATGTGTAACGAAAATGAATCTTTGTATAACGAATCTTCTGTATAACGAAAATGAATCTTTGTTGGGTCTGTTACCACATCTCGTGGAAATGTTTGGGTGGATTTACACGCAACTTGGAGGGTATGTTCAGGGTGATCTGACTTAAAATTTAGGCCACATGGCACATGGGAAAATTGAGAGATTCTAGGACCCATCACTTTAAGACCTGGAGCCATTCCAAGGATGTCATGCACCTCAATAGGAAGATGGTGGAGCTGAGAAGCCAAAGGAAGGAAGTTGAAGACACTGAGATCTTTACACCCCGATGCCCCCTGCCTGGTGCTGCCGGGCTTACCACAAAGCTGATGCGGTCCGTCTGCCCCCAGGAAGTCATCAGAGGCCACGGCTGAGGACACAGAGGCATGGGGGCCTCCCTGGGCCTGCTATTGGGGTGAAGTGACCCGCACAGAATCAGGTGGACAGGGCGCTGCCTCAGCAAGCCAGGATGTGCTGGGCTGTCAGAAAACGCCCATAAATAGGACGGTCCCTGCAGAAGCAGACTGAGTCTGCAGACAGCATCGGCCCCTCTGTTCTTCTCAAGGCGACTGCAACAGGTTCATTCTGGGTATGCGGGGAGAGAGAGGCAGGCCCGGACCTTGGTGGTCTCCGGGGGGGGCGTGCACAGCTGGCCCCCTGCACCAACCGGGGATCCACGTGAGGGCTGGAGCCAAGAGGGAGAACGCAGGACAGCGAGCAGGCCAGCTGGTGTCTGAGGGGGTGCGCAGGGTCGAGCCCTTGGCTGTGAGCTTAGGGCAGGGGGTCTACGAAGACTGAGCACCGCTGAGGAAGGGGAATGGGCAAACTGGGGGCCTGCCACATCTGCTGAGAATCCTCTGTGAGCTGGACCTCCATGAGCTGGACCAGGCCCTGTTTCCTGCTGAGGCTGGACACAGGCAGACAGACAGCCCGCAGGCTACGCATCCCTGGGCCTGTGTCCTGAGTATATGGGCCACGCAGCCCATCTACTTCCAGGAATGTGGGGTGTAGCTGAGGCCACTGTGGATGTCTGAACTGGGCATGTGTGTGTGCAAGAAAGAGAGAGGGGCTGTGTTTGTGCAACAGGTGGGAAGTGACCGTGTACAATGACCACGGGAGCTTGTGTGTGTGTGTGTGTGTGTGCACCTGTGCGTGTGCTGATAAGCAGGAAAACAGTCCTATGTGTCTGTGTGTGCAGCATCAAGAGAATCCTTCCACGTGACTAATGCAGGCCCAGTGGTGTGCGGCACAGTCCCTAGGGATGAAGGGGAGCTGTCTGTCTGTTTGTTTGTGCCTGTGTCTCTTTAAGTGGCTGGAACAAAGTAAGTGCTCCATAAATGCATATGAAATGCATAAGTGAATGCAGAGAAACTGGACTGGAGCCGGTGTCCCAGGACCTGGTCCGGCATCATGCTTTCTCTAGATGTCTGTCTGTCCATCTCCCACCAGTCTGTGGTCTCTTCCTCTCCATCACCCAGCACAGGGCCAGGCACCAACTGGGTTCTCACGGAATCTTTGGCAAGTGAAGGAGTCAGTGAACAAAAGACTATACTGCTTGGGGTGCAGAGGCGGGAGAGGTTCCTGTAGAGGAAACCCCAGCAACGCCCACCCTCTGAGCAGGGTCTGGAGGTGCTGTGTCCGCACAGAACTCCGGGTGTGGGGGAAGGGCACGCGCTTTGGAGCCCAGTCCCAGCCCCACCTCACTGGGCCTCGGGATTGCCCTCTGTAAAATGGGGATCCTGACTCCCCTGACTGTCCCGGTCCCTGTGGTCCATAGTAGATACTAAGGGGATGTTTGCTGAATGACTGAATGACCACATGTAGGTTGTGAGCAATGACCACATCTCAGAGGCAGCCAAGTTCTGTAGCTCAGCCTCGACTCCAATCACGTCAACACCTGGTTTTGCCCGGGTGCACCTGGTGACTCTTTTGCCTTTGACTGAAGCCACAGGTGTTCCTGGGGCAATGGCGGAGCAGCACAGCGCGCCGGAACAGGCTGCCGCCGGCAAGAGCCACGGAGGCCTCGGGGGCGGCTACAAGGTACCGGGCAGGGAGGGGGTCCCGGGGGCTCTGGGCCCAGGGCCGCTCTTGGTCCTCGGGGTCAGCCTCCTGGCCAGGCAGCCTCTCTCCAGAAAGGAGCCGCAACCCTTCTGGCCAGCTTGGACCAAGAGGACATGTCCCCGCCCTGCGATAAATTCACTTCATGGCTCTGCCCCATCGTTCCTCTTCTGTGTCCTTGTCTGCAAAATGGAACTGGTCACGCGCACCTGCCAGTCTCAATGCGGGTTTCGGGAGACGCGGCACTGACTCTCCTGCCCGACCTTGGTCCAGTCCCCGGCCCTCTCTGGGCCTCAACAGCCCCACCTTTAAAGTGGGGATGGTACCCACACTCCTCAGTGTGAGAGCTCAACGCGTGTGCCAGTACCATGGCCAGCTAACGGAGGAATCTGAGAGCTGGGATTTGTTGGCTCTGTCATTTTTTTTTTTTTTTTTTAGTTTTTGGCCGTGCTGCGTGGCATGTGGGATCTTAGTTCCTTGACCAGGGATCGAACCCGCGCCCCCTGCATTGGAAGCGCGGAGTCTTAACCACTGGACCGCCAGGGAAGTCCCGGCTCTGTCCTTTCTAAGCTATCCCGGGGGCTTTAATTTGAGATGGGGTCCGGGAATGAATTGACTAAGGAGATAACTGGGGGCTTTAACCAGAAGGGTGCACACCGGGAGGGGAAGAGCAGCAAAGAGGCCTGCCTGGCTCTGGGCCTGATCCGTGGGTGAATCAGCCTTGCCCTGTGGACCCCCAGCTTCCCACTGGGGAGAGCAGCCCAGAGGCAGCCGCCCACCAGAGAAGAGGGTATCACTGCCGGCCCTTCCTGGCTCCTTTTGGCATTTGGCTTTCCCCTGACCACTCCAGTGCTCGGGAGAAAAGAGCCAGCTGGCTTATTGAGTCCATGCCTCCACTTAACTTGCTGTGCAGCCCAGGACGTTTTCTGAGCCTCCCTTGACCCTTGTATAAAATGACCAGAGCCAATGCTCCCCAGGGACCTGCTACGAAGATAGTTTGTGCTTCTAGGCGGGTGAAAGAGGCAAAACCTTCCTCTGCCTTTGCAACCACTTCCTCTGGGGTATAGGGACAGGTGAAGTTCAACTGTTGCAAACTGGAGTTTTATTTGTCCTGCACAAGGCTTTTTAAATGGAGAAATTTCACATTAAGGAAATTACAGATTTCTGGCTTCTCTTGAAAAGCTTAGAAGGGGGCCCACAGTCCCTCCTATCCACAGCGGCTCCATTGCCCTACAGTAACCCTCTGGTTATTTTGGTCATTTTGCTTTACTTGATTTTGCCCTGCCTCCGGCCAGATACCAGAATTGCAATCCCTGGATTAATGGGGGTTCCTGGAGGTGTTCCCATCCATGGCCACCAGGGGGCAGGGCAGACCTGTGGCGGTGCTGGCTTCAGGCCTGTACCAGGCAGAGCTGAGGGAGCGGATGGCAGTACCTCCCTCCAAGGCCCTAAAGAGGACCTGGCAGGACACAGGCTGGGGCTGGGAACCCTGCCCCGGTGGGATGCTCAGGAGGCTGCCCTTCCAGGTGATCGTGTACGAAATGGAGAACTTCCAGGGCAAGCGGTGTGAGCTCTCGGCCGAGTGCCCCAACCTGACAGAAAGCCTGCTGGAGAAGGTGGGCTCCATCCAAGTGGAGTCGGGGCCGTGAGTACCTGCACCCCCAGCCCCTCCTCACAGCCCTGAGCCCTCTGCAAGTCGGGAGGTCCAGGATCGAGCTCTAGATCTCTGTGGGGCCTTAGGCAACTCCCTTCCCATCTCTGGCCTCAGTTTTCCCACCTGTAAGATAAGAGCATTGAACTGTGATTTTCTTGGAATCCTTCTAACTCTCCATCTCTGAGGTCAGTAGCAGGGCACTGTGGAGAGAGAACAGAGGAAGACACCCAGCACCTAACTCAGTGCCTACTAGTGGGATTTAATAGTTTTAATAATGATGATAATATCTAAATTCTAATGTGCTTTTTATATCACTGAATCCCTCTTGACAGATGAAGAAACTGAGGCCAAAGTGGTCACGTGTCCTGTGCATGTCCACATGGCAAGCAGGAGTCCCAGCTGGACCCTGAATTTTTCAGGTGGAAAGTCCAGACTCTGGTACTACCCACTTGGGTGATCCTGGGCAAGGTGCTTCACCCTCTTGGCCTCTATTTTCTCATCTGTCAAATAGGATAATAAGGGTACATACTTCAGAGAGAGTTTTTGTGAAAGTGAATGGAAGGATGCACATAAATAATTACAATATAGGGCTTCCCTGGTGGCGCAGTGGTTGAGAGTCCGCCTGCCGATGCAGGGGACGCGGGTTCGTGCCCCGGTCCGGGAGGATCCCACATGCCGCGGAGCGGCTGGGCCCGTAAGCCATGGCCGCTGAGCCTGTGCGTCCGGAGCCTATGCTCCGCAACGGGAGAGGCCACAGCAGTGAGAGGCCCATGTACCGAAAAAAAAAAAATTGCAATATAATAGTCATAATAGCACTAACAATATAATAGTAAGAAGAAGAAAAATAGGAGGAGGGGGAGGGGCAGGAGAAGGAGGAGATGTCTATGGAATACTTAACTGTGTGCCAGGCATTGCATTTAAAATGTTTCTGAGAGACTTCCCTGTTGGCGCAGTGGTTAAGAATCCGCCTGCCAATGCAGGGGACACGGGCTCGAGCCCTGGTCTGGGAAGATCCCACATGCCGCGGAGCAACTAAGCCCATGCACCACAACTACCAAGCCTGCTCTCTAGAGCCCGCGAGCCACAACTATGGAGCCCGCGCTCCTAGAACCCGTGCTCTGCAACAAGAGAAGCCACCGCAATGAGAAGCCCACATACTGCAGTGAAGAGTAGCCCCCACTCGCTGCAACTAGAGAAAAGCCTGCGTGCAGCAATGAAGACCCAATGCAGCCAAAAAATTAAATTAAATAAATAAAAATAAAATAAAGAATAAAATAAAATGTTTCTGAGCAGCCTACACAGAGGCTGCACATAAAATAGATTCTCAAGACTCTTCCCCAGGATGGTTTTCTGACTCAGAGTCTCAACTCCCAGTATGTTCCAGCAGCTCCCTCAATCCCAGGACCAGGGCTCAGTAGTAGCGTCGGAGGGAAAGTGCAGGGTCAAAAGTCAGCAGCTCTTGGGCACCCCCCTCACTAGTCTTGGGTCCTCCCGCAGGGCAGCAGAGGCGACCCAGGCCTCTTTCCTCCTGCAGGTGGCTGGCATTTGAGCGCAGGGCCTTCCGCGGGGAGCAGTATGTCCTGGAGAAGGGGGATTATCCTCGCTGGGACGCGTGGTCCAACAGCCACCGCGGTGACAGCCTCCTGTCCCTCCGGCCTCTGCAAATTGTGAGTATAGCGCCTAGAAGCAGGACGTGCCTGGAGCTCGTGAGGCAAGCTCCTTTCACAAGCTCAGCCGAGGGCTTGGCTGGCATTCTACATGAATAATTCTGTTCTCCTGCCACCCTCTCTGTGCCTCGGTGTCCCTATCTGATAAATGACGGAGTTTTTAACCAGACCTGAAAGGCCCCTCTTGGTTTCCCGGCTCTCTGGCTCTAAAATTCCTAAGGAGACCAGCTCTGGGGGTGGGCGTTATTTGACTTAATTCTTTCCTGGAACCTCCCTCCCCCTGTTCTGGGCATGGAAGCAGCCAGTTCACCCCGTGGTCTTTGCCCCCAGGATGGTCCGGATCACAAGCTGCATCTCTTTGAGAACCCGGCTTTCGGCGGCCGCAAGATGGAGATAGTGGACGATGACGTGCCCAGCCTCTGGGCTCACGGCTTCCAGGACCGTGTGGCGAGCGTCCGGGCCATCAACGGGACGTAAGGGACCTGATCCCACTCTTGCCCCTGCCCTGTCCTCCAGTTGGCGTGCCTCTGGCTCCACACAGAATCTTTGTTCACAATTTCCTACACAACTGACGTTTCCTGCTCCTTCAGGTCTGGAGGCTCTTCACTCAAGTCAGTGCATCTACACCAACCGTGCTCAAAGCCCCATTCAAGATCCCCCATGATGCGAATGTCCAATTGCTTGCATTCCGGTACCATTGGATATCCAGGAAGCCTTGACTTATAGACAGTTTTATCTTTTTTTTTAACCAAGTGAAGTCTGTCCCCCTTACCTCTCTCCATCAAAATCTTCACTCCTTTTCTGAACATCCCTAGGCCCTTGAACTCAGATATTTTTTTCCTTTTCGCAATCTTTGTCCTTCTTACCAGGGAACCCAGCCTGTAGGTAGGTGTGGCTTGAGTAGTACATAGGAGAGCAGGCTCATCACCTCCCTCCTTCTAGGCTTGATATCTCTGTTAATACAATCTTAGGATCACCATCCCTTTGTCCAGGTGACTGTATCTCACTTGCAGGCTTGTGATCTGGGGTTGGGCCTTGAAAGGTGCCACCTCTACCTGATAATAATGTATTCAACAACTTTTTACTAAGTTATCACCTATGGTCAGGGTATGGGGGCAACAGGAACTATACAATTCCTCCCTCAAGAATTTCACAGATATCTGAATTGATATGTAAAGGATATGTAAAGGATATGGAGGAGGAGATATCTGAATTGATATGTAAAGGATATGTAAAGGATATGCAACAGGAACTATACAATTCCTCCCTCAAGAATTTCACAGTCTTATAGGGAGACAGACAAGGAAATAGTATTCGCAATTCGTTGTGATCAGAATTGTGATGGGGGATGTACAGGGGCTCTGAGGGTCCTGATGAGGCACTTGGTTTAGCCTGGGGGTGTCAGGAAGGGCTTTCTGGAGGAGGAGATATCTGAATTGATATGTAAAGGATACTAATGAAAGAGGAGATGAAATAAGGTTGAGGCAAGGACAAGCATTCCAGGCAGAAGGAACAGCATGTGTAAAGGCTCAGAGACATGCAGGTTCAGGGAGAATAGAATAAGACAGGCTGGAGTGTGGGGTATAAAGAAGGAATGAGAGATGAGGCTAGAGGTGCTACGTGAAGAATCTTGTGGGCAGGATTAGGAATTTGAGTTCATCCCGAGGGCACTGGGGAGCCAGGGAGGGATTTAGGCAGGTGGAGAGCATGATCAAACGCTGGTTTTAAAAGACTCGGTCTGGCCGGAGGCAAGAGATTGGACCCTGACCATCCTCACCCCGACCTTGGTCTCCCTGCAGGTGGGTTGGCTACGAGTTCCCCGGCTACCGCGGCCGCCAGTACGTGTTTGAGCGGGGTGAGTACCGCCACTGGAACGAGTGGGACGCCAACCAGCCACAGCTGCAGTCTGTGCGCCGTATCCGCGACCAGAAGTGGCACAAGCGGGGCTGCTTCCTCAGCAGCTGAAGGGCGCCCAGGCCCCAGTGGCCCAGGCCCGCCCTGGGGGGCAGCAAGGGCAAGAAGAGGCGGCTCCAGGGCCGGGGTGAGGGCCTGTCTGGCCACCCTTCCCCAGAATCTGCTCAATAAAGCCTGGGGCCGGTCCCCCACCTGCCATGTTCCTCCGTGTCACTTTTTGAGGGGGCTGGGCCCCAGGTAGAGCCCAGGGGAGGGGCAGGATGAAGGAGGCTTGGGCTTGAGGGTTCTGAGAGCCCCAAGGGAGGGCTGTGAGCTGTGCTTCCATTTGAGGGGCTGGTCCTTATCAGGCAGAACCACACGTGCATCCTGCCCCGATTTTGTGTCTGGCTGCCTGTGTCTCCATCTGTCAGTCCGTCCATCCATCCATCCATCCTTCTCGTCTTCCTTCCATATTTCTATGTTTTCTTCTGTCCATTGATTTATCCATCCCTCCTTCTACCCACCCATCTTTCTACCCATTCTTTCAATTCTTCCTTCTATCCTCCCATCCACTCATCCCTCCATCCATCCATCTTACATCCCTTCCTCCCTCTGTCCATCCCTCCATCCCTCCCTCCCTCCCTCCATCCATCCATCCATCCACTCATCCGTCCATCCATCTACCCATCCATCCCTCCCATCCATCCATCCTTGCATCAGTCCTTTCGCCCATTAATCCATCCATCCTTCCTTTCTCCCATCCACCTGTCCATCATTCCCCCTCCATCTCTCTGTCTCTATTCTCACTAACTTATTCCACAAGTACCAGGCCCTGTTCAAGGCCTGAGGTCACAGCAGTGAACAAAGCAGAGTCCCGCCCACACAGAGCTCACCTTCTAGGAGAGACAGAACATAAATGAACAGGTAAAGTTTGAATATAATGTCAGGAGGTGGGAAGGGCTAAGGACAAGGAAGCGGGATACAAGGATGCAGAGTGATGGGGTCGCGGTCAGAGAACTCTGAGGAGGTGACATTTGACCTCAGACCTGAATGACCCATGAGAACATTCCAGGCGGAGGAAGAACAGACTTGAAGTTCATAGGCTGGAGTGCGGCTGAGTGATGGAGACACAGCAAGGAGGGTTAAGTAAGAGATGGGGAGGGGGTCAGAGAGGGCATGTGGTCGGCATTTAGGACTCCACAGACTCTGGGAAAGTCTGACTCTTCTCCCGGGGGCGGGAGCCACGGAGAGTTTGAACGAGGCGAGACATGGTCTGTCTTTGGGTTTAATAGGAGCGCTCTGGCTGTAGCGCAGAGTAGAGACGGTGGGACCAAGGGGGAAGCCGGGAGACCGGTTGGGGGGCTCCTGCAGAGATCCGGGCAAGCCATGATGATATGGTGCCCCGACCTGCTCTCTTCCATGCATTGGTGACTGTCACCCTGCCCAGAGATCTGCAGCCTCGGCTCAAGGGCTAAGCCCCCATCCCACCCGCCAGCCCTGAGCCTCAGTGGCTTCCTCCAGCCCAAGGGGGGACACCGTGGCTGCGCACGTGAGTCTCCTCTGCCGCCCACTCCCCGCCCCCCTCCCCGCCATGGGAATAGGAGGGACTGTCCCGTCTGACAGTCAGGCCACAGCTGGCCTCCGGGGATCACCCCTTCCATCTCCAGGAGCCAATGCCGACCTTGCTCCCCTGTTGCCCCTGCAGCCTGTTCCAGCCTCCCGCAGCCTCCCCACGGCTAAAGGCCACTGGTATGGGGGAGGCCTGGGGGGGCCCCAGGAAGACATTAAATAAAATGGGGCAATTTTCAGTTACTTCAGCCTGTGTGCTTAAAAAAATATGCACAGCTGAGAAATCACCTCGAATTATTCTTACATTGGTGTGTAGGGCAGAGCTGGGGTGGGTGAGGGCACTCAGCAAGGAGGCAGGTGGAAGGCAGGGGTTGACTCCCTGGATGTGGGGACAGCAGCACCCACCCCTCCTCACCCCTTCCTCCCACCAGCACCCACTCCTTCCTCCCTCTCACAGAGAGAGGCCTTGTTATGCTTTATCCATCAGTGCTCACTGAACACCAGACCCAGTGCTAGGGCTTTTTATTCATTATCATCTCATTGAATCCTAACGAAGACCTTGGAAGGCACAGTTATTGATCCTATTTAACAGATGAAGAAACCGAGGCTCAGAGAGGCCGTATCACCTTCCCAGGGCCACACAGACAGGAAATGGTAGAGCCGAGGTTTGAACCCTGTATTTTGATGCTAGAACATCTGTTTCTGAGCCCTACACACTCTGATGTATCCATCAGGGGCAGAGAAACATCACAGAAAAGGAAACAACGGTTGCCACAGCAACAATTTTAATGAGAATAATAGTAGCCACTGCTCTCCAGCCCCTACTGTCACCGAGTCCACTACTGCTTTATAGAATCAGCTCTCATCTGTGATGGGTGATCATGACCTCCATTTGCAGAGAGGGATACTGAGGCCCAGGGTGTTGAAGTAAATTGACCCAAGTGCCACCACATTTAAGTGGTGGGACCAGAACTCAAGTTCGTGTCCATCTCCAAAGCTCGGGTCGCCCTGCCCACCAGCTGTTGATGCTGTAGCTGAAGCCTTCTCTGCTGCTGCAGCTTCTGTCCATGAAGGTGGCTGCTGTTTATTGAGCACCTGCTTTGTTCTAGGTTTTGGGCAAGAGGTGTCCATGCCTGGTCTCAGTTTACACCAGGAAGGCCCCTGGCAGGCTCCAGGGTTATGGGTCAGTGGAGGCAAGGAGGCCAACGCAGTACTGGGGACAGTTCCCCCTCCCCTCCCTCCCTTGGGCCAGACTTGGTCCCAGGCACTGCAGCTGGGTTAACTCTAGAGGTGGAGTTCAGCTGGACCCCATATTCAGGACAGACCCTGTCCAAAGCCTGAAACCTATAATAACCATCTGTGTCAAGGAGAGCTTGCTCTCTGCAAGTATTCCCATGCATTATCCCGTTCAACCCCACTAAAGGCCTCGGAAGCACAGAGAGGGGCAGCCAACTCCGAAGGTCACACAGCCAGGGAGCAGCAGACCTGGGATTTGACCCCAGGCCTGCATAACCCCAAAAGGCTGCTCTTAACTCCAACCTAGACTTAAATTTCCACCTAACACAGGGGCAGAGCCTGAGAGGGACAGTGAAGCAAAGGCATCCCTCAGTGACAAAAGGTCAAGGTTCAGGGCCAGGAAGTCACTTTACTTAATTGAGAGGCTTTGTAGGCTAATGGTTAGAGGCAGTACACCTGAGATGGGCTTTTTTTTTTAACATCTTTATTGGAGCATAATTGCTTTACAATGGTGTGTTAGTTTCTGCTTTATAACAAAGTGAATCAGCTGTACATACACATATATCCCCATAACTCTTCCCTCTTGCGTCTCCCTCTGAGATGGCCTTTTGATCCACATCACCCAGGTTTCTTTCCAGGCTCCACCACTTACTGTGTGCCTTTGGGCAAGTCACTTAACCTCTCTGTGCCTCCATCACCTCGTCTGTAACATGAAGTTAATAACACTATCTAGGTTGTTTTGAGTTTTAGCGTAAGATTAATTGGCAGAAAGGGATGAGAACAACAGATAAACAAAGTGTGAGCTCTAGAAATATTCATCCTCCTCCTCATCATCATTAGAAATGATGACCCCGGGGCTCCCCTGGTGGCGCAGTGGTTGGGAGTCCGCCTGCCGATGCAGGGGACACGGGTTCGTGCCCCGGTCCGGGAAGATCCCACGTGCCGTGGAGCAGCTGGGCCCGTGAGCCATGGCCGCTCAGCCTGCGCGTCCGGAGCCTGTGCTCCGCAACGGGAGAGGCCACAGCAGTGAGAGGCCCGTGTACCGCAAAAAAAAAAAAAAAGAAGAAAGAAATGATGACCCTAGATATGGGCTCCGTGGTTGTATGAAGCAGAGAGACTTTCCAGTTACTCAGTAATGGGGGGGTCATCCTAAGGCTGCCAGCGCAAGCAAGAAAACAAGGAACCTAGGCTCCGTGGCTGGGCTTGGGGAGTCCAAGCTGTGACAAGGCTTCACGGGGAGAGTGGGACCCGGGGGGTGAGCAGGGCTCATGGAGACAGGACTGCAGCTCAAGGACTCCTAGGAGCCGGGCGGCAGACTCTGTGGGCATCCTCCTAGGGGTCCACCATTAGGGAGCCTCAGCAAATGCATCCCCCCCACCTGCTTCTCCTGGGGTCCTCCTGCCACTCCCTGCTGCCAGCGGCCCCCTCTCCCCAGCCTTCACCCCGGATGTCTTTTATCTGCTCCTGGATGGTAGCAGATACTATGTATTTTCCCATATACCTTAGAACCTGAAATGGTGGTGTGTGGGGGCCACTTCCAGCTGCCGGCATCCGCATGCTTGTGCGCCGGGGGGCAGCTGGCATTCTGGGGAATTAATGCCTACTAGGAGCAGCCCTCATCCGATAGCTAACAGGAATTAGTGTATAAATACCCCAGCTCCCTACCCTCGGGTGGGAACTTGACCAAGCATTCCTCCCCATTTTGGAAAGAATCATGGCACCCGCGGCGATGTTGCCTGCAGTGTTTGCATCACCAATAAATCACCTCTGGGCCAATCCGCATGTCTGGCTGTATTATGTTTAAGAAGATTCTTCATGGGCATATGAAAATGTCATGCACACATTCAGTTCAATATTAACTTCTTTTTTTTGCGGTACGCGGGCCTCTCACTGTTGTGGCCCCTCCCGCTGCGGAGCACAGGCTCCGGACGCGCAGGCTCAGCGGCCATGGCTCACGGGCCCAGCCGCTCCGCGGCATGTGGGATCTTCCCAGACAGGGGCACGAACCCGTGTCCCCTGCATCGGCAGGCGGACTCTCAACCACTGCGCCACCAGGGAAGCCCCAATATTAACTTCTTATCCAAACTTGTCCACTGTAAGTAGCACAAATACCTAACTCCTTGTTTACATCATTCTGGTATAACTGTGTCCAAACCTTTATCTATCGAAATACATATTATTACACATTTTATTTTATTTATTCTTATATATTATAGTTAGGACATTTTATTATGAATTTATTCTGAAAGTATGTACATAGGTGAGTTATGGTTTCAATTTTATTTCAGGAAAGGGCTGTCACACAATAATTGTCATGAGAAGGGAGTGTCGGTGCTGAAAGAGGGGACAAGTTCTCGACTTGGTGGCCTCCGAGGCTCCTTGTAGCTCTGGCTCCTTTGTATCT